ATATATATATATATATATATTTATATTTATTTATTTATTTAACGTTTGTATAATAGAGGCTACATTAGTGAAAATTGTGATATTATTACATATTTAGATATTATTTTATTAATGAAAAAGATAAAAAAGAAAATTCAGTTCGTGGAGCTTGCTATTGCGTTTTACAACATAATTCCATTGTATTGATAATTGTATAATAAATCACCTACAAAAGAATGGTATCAATTGTTCTTTTTACATCTATATAACTGTTCATCAGCTTTTCCTTTTTTATAGGATTTTCATTCATCTTTTGTTTAGCCTAACCTATTAATTTGTTTTTATTCAATTATAAAAGTCTTTATAACAAATGGATTGAGTTGTTGAAAAAAAATTTTTTTCAACAACTCAATCCATTTGTTATAAAGACTCAATCCATTTGTTATAATTTTCAACAACAATTAATTTTAAGAACTTAAAATTTCTCGGGTGTGTAGATAAATACATAAACTTAATTTTTGAAATTTAATATATTTTCTTAAGATTTAAATTAGCCATTTACTTGTTTAATTAAGAATAATTTAGCTTTTTAGTAATACTTTAATAATACATTTTTAATAATACTGTATAACACTTAAACTTTAGATTGAGTCAATTTTAAATTATTGCTTTTCTTAAATTCTAATTTATAAAGGTATCGATTTTTTCCCATTTTATAATTCATTTGTGGAATAACAATAAACGATTGAAGTATAATTTAAAAACTATTTTGACAATTATCAACAATATTAAATTTTGTGTTGTAATTTATTGAACAATTATCATTAAAAACATAATATACTCATAATTTGGATGTAGACTCCTTTAATCAAACTAATTTCCGCAAAATGTGTTTAAACTAGACGCACGAGATAAAAATATGTATACATAAAATTATTAATGTCCAAATTATATATTTAAATTTCTCTTAAAATGACATCAATTTTCATACTTATAAAATTAGTCAATTGGATAATCCAAAAAGTTGGCAATTATAAATGAATCAATACAATAGAAAGGAAAAAAATGTTTTATTTCATAACGTTATGAAGTAACCGAAATTCCTTTGTTTTTCCAAATGCATCAATCGCATTTTAACGTTTTATCCTTAAAGATTAAATGTATTTTATTTTTAAGGATTAAATGTAATAAAATTTGTTTAATTTGTCTCTTTCTCAATTTATAATGCAATTTGTCGATTTTCCAACTTTTTGGATTATCCAATTGACTAATTATACATAAGTATTCAATTAATGTCATTACTTTCCCGGCTCTGTTATATATAACAGAGAAAAAGTATTGCGATCAGTCAAAAAAATGACTCCTTTCACAGATTTTTACATTTTTGGATTCAGGGGACCTTGAAACATCGAGAAATGTAAAAAAAAATCGGGGTTTTTTACTGTATGTATGGATGTTAGTGTGCGTGTGTGTGTATGGAACGATTTCGTTTATCTTCTTTGAAGCTTAATAACTCATCTGAGTTTGTGGAAAATTTCTGAATTTTTGCAAGGAGGTTTGTTTATTAGTGAGATTGATGCTATTAAATTTTGGAGATTAAAGATCGTGGGGTGAGGAGATAAAGAAGGTCGTGTGTGATATCGAGAGTAGAGTCAGACTTAATGACGATTTTACTCGTTATTAGCATTTACAAATTTTTTTATAAAACCCATCCCACCCCTCAAAATGGTGCCATTTTATGATACTTAAAAAGATAAAAAGGCTTTTTAAAATAAAATATCATAACAGATGGCACTACCAAATGTTGCCGGAAAAGTTAAGCAACTCGTTCTGGATTTTTAACAAACATTTAAAACTATATACAGTTATTGTGAAATTAATTTAGTTTTTGATTGTCTTGTGTTTCAAAATAAATCGTCGAATTACTTAAACTAAAAAAATATTATGTAATTATTTCTATATATACTCCATATTTTCTTATATTCCAATTTTAGGTGTTTCGATTAAATTTAATTTTTATTTAATTTATTTTTATTAATATATTAACATTCAAATAATATAATGCTTTATAAAAAAACAGACTGTACAGAAAGGAAAAATTAATTTCTGACTTTATGTAACATAACTTGGCTCAAGATAAAGAAATTTTGTGTTCTGCTTGCAAAGCTGTAGGCTAATAAATATATGATTGAACAGAGAAATAAAATTACCGTTATAGTGATGTAATTTATTGTTACCTTTCTTACGATGTCAAGTCACGTAGAATGCAGAAAAATAAGGAAAATATTTCCATAAACAATATTTAAGTACAATGTTTTTTAAAATATTAATGGTATAATATAATAACAACATATAGTGAATATTATGGACCTTTTTGTTTGGTAACTTTTATAATATTTTATAATAATATACCTGTATACCTGTATATATTTTATTAAAATTTTATTAATAAAAGTTATTGACGGATATTTATTTTACTTCCTAGCCATAACGAACAAGTACGATATTATGCTAAAGAATGGTCAAATTGGGGGAAAAAATATAACTAAAAAAAATGGAATAAAATCTGTTTTAAATTGAAGGAAATTGTAAAAATGCTACAAATAAAAATACTTAAAAATACTTAAAATACGTTTAATTCTAACTAACTATTTTTATAGGTCTGGTGTATTTTGAAGATAATGTATTTTATTTCATTCTTTTAAGTTTCCTTATATTATTCGTAATTAATAAGATTTTTATGTTATGTAAATACTGTATAAACGTGAAAGGATGAAGGTGCAAATGACTTTTTCAATCTTATTTTTTAAATACAGTGTTTAAAAAATAAAATTGAAAAGACCTTCAGATCTTTATAATTTTATTGTTTGAAAAATTATGATAATTGTTCAAAATGCTCATCTCTTTCACTATTAGCCTTCTCTCATTGTCACCTGATAAGATTTCGTATGCAAAAAAACTACTAAAATTACAATTATTTTGAGTAACGCTTTTAATTTGAATAAGCAGATTGATTTCAATTAAATATATCAAAATTTATCGAGGTTCGTTAGCACACAATCGCATCCTCCATTGTCTGACAAAACTCACAATGAGCAAGAAAAAATACGCTTTCTTAATGCCTATAGCAGTGGTTCTCAACCTTTCTGAGGCTGCGGAACACCATTCACACACTTTTTATTACACGGAGCATTAGCATCAATATATCCAAAACTTGATAAGCAATTCCATGTTTACTATTCTCAAGAAACAATGAAGCAATAAACTAATAAACTTTAATATATTGAATAAAATAAAAGCATGGAATTGTCTACGAATATAGCAATGGGAATAAATTTGAATAAAAACTTCAAAATCTTTTCTTTCGTGGAATACTCGAGGTAGGTTTGCGGAACAGAGGAGGTTAACAGAGTAAAAACAAAAATACAAAAAAGTTTTTAAAAAAACTTTGAATACATCAAAGACTATTTAAATCATTTCCACGCCAATTTATTTACATTTGCGTGATATTTAATACAATTTTACATTGAATATTCGATTATTTTATTTATTTTTGTCGTGTTAACGATTATAAAATACACGGAACACGAAAGTTTTACGAACTAGAAATAATATACATGGTAATAAAACTGTATCTCTTTCTCTCTAAAACGAATCTTTCTATACATAATGTTAAGATTAAATGGGTAAAATGGTATTCACTGAAACTTTCTTAATTTTCTAAAGATTGCGTGTAGCATTATATTTAAATACGTGCATTATATTTAATTGCATGCATGTAGTATTAAATATAATACTACATGCAATTTAATATTAATCTTATAGTATTTAATACTAAAGATTATTACTAGAGATTAAAGATTTAATACTAAAGAAAATTGCATATAGTATTAAATATTATGTATTAATGCTAATATTTTAAATATTTTACATATTTTTAATTAGATAAATAAAGCAAGCGGCCTATTATAAAATAGAAATTTCGTACTTCTAGTTTATTAAAATTCAGAGAAAATATTTACTGTTCTATTCAAAAATATTCTTATACGAAATAGTTTTCTATTAACATTAAAATTTGAAATAATATTACAAAGTAGTTTTTCATAACAGAAATATGATTTTTGTTTTAAAATTTGAAAGTAGAAATCTTACCTTATCAACCCAAATAACAAACGACAACATATAAACTTCGTAGTAAACAGAGAAACAATAGTTGCATCCGCTTTTATAGTTCTTGAGATGGGAGATATTTTATTACCGTAATTGTTCAAGATGACGTTCATAATGCGTCATTTTAGAACGACATTGAAACGTCTTTTTATGAAAAAAATTGATTTCAATGTAAATTATACGAAAATTTCGGAGGAAATACCGGTTATAAAGCGTATACAATACTTATTTCTATAAGTATCATGGTTCGTTTATTTTGTATAGTTATAAAGGCATATCAATTCAGTTCCAGCAAAATTTAATCAAAAATTATTGCTAAAGGATAATTTTACGGTATTATGATTGAGTATTTTTCTCACTTTTATTTAATACATTATGTTGTTAGTACTATACATTATTGTACATGCTCTTAAAAATATTCCTTAAATATTATTCCCTTTTAATAATGTTTTCTTGATCGTGATTATTATTCCACATAAAATTTAAAATCTAATATCTTTAATATTTAATATTTTTTCTTAGAGTATATAAATTTTATATTAATAATAAAATAATTTAAGATAAAATGCAAATATCACAAATTTCTTTTACACTTCACACATTTCATTTCAGAAACGTCTCGTAGCTTTTTGTAAAATCATTCAAAATCGAAATAAATAATCTTTAATTATTTATCAATTATTCAATCTTAACCGCAAAGTTCAAAGATGGAGTATTCTTATTGATATAAACTCATAAACTATAATAAATTGAATATCTCCCTCTTTTGGTGTGGGATGGCAATTGTGGTCATTTGTTTCTTAGTATACTGTACTTGCTTTGTTTCTGCTATCAGCCCAATGAGAGAGAATAGCGAGTATTCTCTCTCATTGAGCTGCAATTTGAAAAAAATTGTAGACCTATAAATTCCCATCGTCATCCGTCCGTCTGTGTGTCTGTCTTACCTCAATCTCGAGAACAGAGTTAAATAGATAAAATTTGAGACCTTAGGGGCAGGAAGCCCAGATTAACTATATATCAACTTCCGATGCAAACTGCAAGTCATGTTATTTCAATTCAAAATTGTCCCCCGAATGGTGTTAGATAATGACCGGATTGCTATTGCTAGTAATTTTAGTATGATGCAGTAGCGTGCCGTGACATTTGATGATAGGGAAGCTGTGTTTCTGTAAGAAGCCGACTTCCAGGGACGATCAGTTAATTCTTTAAATGCATTTTTAATAGATTATTTATCTGACGTAATTAATAAATAGTTATCAATAGTTATTAATAAAGTTCAATATAATTACCTCTGTTATTAGATTCAATAGATTCCCTATGCCCTCTAAATGCTGATTCTTGCTTTGATAAAAACATATAACATTTATTAATTTAAATATATCTATTAGCCGTAACTATCTCGTTATAATTTTCAATATTTATTTTATATTATTTACTAATGTTAAATTCTATTCCGCTTCGATTTCCAAATTGCTTCAAATACGAAAGAATCGACGATTTTTCGTGTCTTTTGCCAGCTAAATTGTCAAAGACATTCTTATTCCACACACTAATTTCACTCTGTAAATGCATTTTTATGCATTTACAGAGCCATTTTATCGTGAAAATATCGAACAAATTTTTTTATTGAAGCGTTTATATTTAACTTAGGCATTGGCCTTTCTCTTTTAATAATGTTTTCTTTTTCATTATATGATCTCGAGCCAAAACTTTTTTAAAATAAATTTTCAATATCGCAATTACATTCCGAATCGCTAGCCACGATATAAGGGCTAAAATTAAAAATAAAATTATAAAAACTTACTTGGTGAAATAAAATGTGCGGTGGATATACATACCTGATACAAAATACTCTTCAATCGTATGAATATACTTTTAAAGAAAATTATAATTAAATATAGATTTGTAAAGAAACGTACATAAAAATAACACAAAATCTTCTTTACTTTTTAAATCTTAACCACTTAGTCAAATAGTCCTACGAGTGGAATCAGAGGCGGTCCTGCTAGGTGTACGGTGCGTGCATGCACGCGGGCTGCCAAATCCCGAGGGTGCCGATACCGGTCAATGTCAAATGCCTCTTTTGTCACATCACTAGTATATCTCAAAGGATGCGACGGGGTTGTTGTAAATTTTAAACGTTTCTCATCATAGCTGTAAAAATCAAAATATGTTAAATTTAATAGTCATTTGTTTTCTAACTAATTCGTTTTAGGACCAGGTGTCCACGGAAATTTCCAAAATTTACAACTTTTCGGTCATTCTCGTTGAACTGGAAAAATCTCTGTTTATATTACGTCTAATATTATAAAGAAATCAGTCCCCGCTGTACTCGGCTGGAGATTGGGTCAGTTAAGCTTTTAAGTAATATTCCGGCTCTTTCTTCAGGGTTTATTTATGTCCCCAATTCCCTAATCTCTTAATTATTTAACGATTTCTTAAGTAGAAATAAGTCGAAACCGGTTACTTTGTACTCGAATGTTTGTAGTCTTGGGAAAAAAGTGAAAAGACAAATTTTTACGACAAACGATACATAAATCGTAAATTTAAGAATTACTGTATAAATTCTAGGGATTTTTCTGTACCTGGTGCATCGAGAGAGATGCACCAGGTACAGAAAAATCTCTCATTCATTAAATTTAGTTGTAAATTATGCTACCAAAGTAACAGTTATTTTTTTAACATTATACAAGAACTGTACACGTTTTTTCTACATCCCCTTAAAGATTAGACGTACGAAATCGTAATATCACTGGTTTAACATAAAAATCCGTGAGTAATATTATATAAAATCGGAGAGCGGAATAAAAATAACAAATATTTTAATGGATTTTTTAAAACTCCTGTCAACTGTACAGAACTATCCTAAGAACATACCAGTAAATTCTTATCGGTTGGGTTAAGTTACAAATCTACTCGTGATTCATGTAATCGGGCGAGGGCGGCCAAATATCTAGCGGGCAGGCGGCTAACAGCCCAGAACCGGTCCTGGATAGAATTGGATGCGTTATACGTGTAGCAGCCACCCGAGGTCCTAGGCTTCCACCAGCTTAATCGGGTGAGGTTGGTGCTCTGTAAAGCGCATGCGCGAATCTGGCTTTTTGGATGCTGACGATACAGCGCTTCCATTCCGCCACTAATATTCGAATATACAATAGCGATCTTATCTTTTTTTCACGTGTAGTATAGAAATTTGTAATAAGATACGTAATGCTGTTATAATAAAATATTGTGTGATTATTTTCATATAATTAAAATTAATATATATTTATTTGTTAGAAAATACAAGGGAAGCGGCGCATCCACCGCTTCCAATGACGTTATGCTACTGGTATGATGTACAGGGAAAAGACAATACCAATTTGAGTAGAGAAGCATATATCTTAAATTAAATAAATTAAAAATATGATTAGAAATTGCAGCCCGGCTCGTTACAAATAAAATTTTCTGTTATTAAATAATCGTTGTTTTTATTATTATAGGAT